ACAAGAATATGAAAATTTTAGAGAACAAGAATATGAAAAACTTAAAAAATGTACGTAATTTAATGCTGACGAATAATATTTTAATTAAGAATTTTAAATTAATTCTTTTAACGTTTTATATCTTATAGTAATTAAAAATATAGAGATGTTTATTGATCCTGAAGAAAAGCAACAGATTTTGGAAATCATTGGAACTCTTGCACGAGGTGTTAGAGGTGGTTGGTTTCAAGATTCACGTGTCGCTATTATATTATGTCAATTAGGAACCCTTGTTAGCGATATTGACGACTTAATTCGAAAACTAGTCCAAGATTTCAAGGATCGTGTATCAGGAGGCGAAGCAAAATTATTTGCAAATATATTCATTTCATCATTAAAAAAGGTACATGAATTTCGGTAATATTATGTTTATATCACTTCACTTTTTGAATAACTTATTAACGTTCAACAATTTATAGTCTCATGAACTTTACGTGGACAGTCACGTTGAGACAATGAATGGAACTACATCACTTGCTCGTCTTTGTGCAAATGCATTGCAATTACGAGAAACCAATGATAAGGCGTCACGCAAGAATACTGATTGTTTTGTTGATTTTCACCATAAAGGAATTTCGTTTATTACTTCAATGATAACGAAATTCAGAGTACTTGATAAAAGTGAGGAAGTTACGAAATCAATTAAGTTCTTCAAGATTTTAAACACGTTTATCGGAGGAATGAATGTTAATGGTGCTCGACAAATGTAAGTTATGTTAATTATTTTGGTTATTTTGAAATATTTTAATGATCGTTCATTTTTAATATTATGAATTTAGATACTCAATTCTTCAACAAGAAATGAATGTTCATGAGATTAGCCCGTCAGAATTGGATAAACAATGGGAACCTTATTATTTGTACGTGCAGAAGCTTAATAACATATTAACGAAAGGAGGAGTTAGGATAGGTACGAACATATCTTGTTAATTCGAAGATTTGGCAAATACAAAAGATTCTTATAAAATTTACACAATTTTCATCATTAACAGGTAATAAACGATCCGCACCAGTTGATGATGATGTTGAGAACTTGAGGTCTCCAAAGAAAAGAAAGCCTCCCACCAACAAAGAGGATGAAAGAAATGAGGGATCAGATAGTGGTGAAAGTTTTCAAAGTCTGACCGATGTCCGTACCAAGAAGAAGGTACGACGATAAAAAATGATATCAATTTTTTGTAAATAAAAAAGTTAGCTATGATAATAATAATAATAATAGTAATAATAGTAATAGTAATTAATATTCATAATTCCCTTGAGAGCAACCTTTTTTTGTAATAAATGCTTTTCGCTAGTGAATTTTGGGGGAAAACAACATAAAATAAAAATTAACAAGTACTTTGATTATAAAAAATTAATTTAATTTATTTGAATCGCGAGATAAAATTTTAATAAAATATCCTGAGACATGATTTAATAATACGATGATAGGGATTGAAAGCTCATTGGTAATTTTCAAGAATGGTAACAGTTAAAAAAATAAATGACAGATCAGAGTTTAAATAGAAATATTAAATGTTAATTAACAGAATTATAATCTTAGTAATAAATTAAAGATATCACTAATTTATTTTTATTTTTCTTTTTTTGTTTTTTTTTTTTTTTCTCTGTGCTGGATATTGGTATTCTTAGGAACCATATCCAAATTTTTCTTCATAACCGGGAACACCCCATTGACCTCTTTTAACCATTTTTTCTACGATATCATTAATCTCAGGTTTAGCTTTAACAATTTCCTCAACCTAGAAAATATAAATAAAAGAATGAATAAATAATCACAAATACAGAAAAGTTGTAAAGAATAAATAAATAACGCACGGTTATATCCTCAAATGGCCTTGTCTGTTCAATATTGGTCAGTGTACTGTGCAAATCTTTCAATTCATCATCAACTCTTGCCACCGTTTTTTTTGCATTTTCAACCTAAGAAAATATTTATTTATTTTTTTTATTTTTAATTGTTATCTAGTGATTTTTTTTCCATACCGTATCTCTCTAATACCTACCGCTTTTGACTCGATAATTTCAACAATTTTCATTTGTGCATTGAGATCAGTTTTGACAGGTTTAAAGGAACTTAAAGCCTTTTCGGCTTCATTTACAATACCCTTATTTTTTAAAAGCGATCTATAATGTTCAAAGTCGATATCAGTTTTTTGTTCTTTTAAAGCTAAGACTACTCTTCTTGCCTCATCGTTACGTTTACGAAAGGCTTGGAGTGCAGCTACGGTTTCTTTCTTTAACCCTAAAGAGACTGTAAGTTTTGACCAATCGACCTTAGCGGCAGCACGAATTGAAGAGGCCATTGTTTAAATTAACTTCCATCATTAAATTTCCGAATGTTAATAGATTGATCATGGTGCTACCTCCACCAGCGATCGTTTCTACATATAAAACATTTTAATACAAATTTGCGTCTATTATGAAGTTTCAATTTAAAATTAAATCGTTCGATCTTTTTGATGATTTTGTTCCGAAATATACATTTATAAAATTTTATATATTATTGGAATATTTATTTTTCAGTAAATCATAATTTTCTTTTCAAAAATACGTTTTAAAAATTCAGAATTTTAAGTTATAATAAATTTATTAATCCGAAGAACTAACTCGCTTCCCTCAATAATTGAGTCGACCTTGAAGTGACCTTAAAATGACCTAATCATGTGATGATTTTACTATGAAATCTATCACGTGATCATATACAACGTGATCATATACAAAGTGACCTAGGTCACTTCAAAAAAAGGGAAATGACCTTGAAATTTGCCAACACTGGTTGGAAGAGAGTTATAATAAGTTTTTGCAAGTCATAAAATTGTTGATGTCGGTCATTTTCAAAACATTTCATTGTTTCCTTGACCTCATCTAGACTATGAGGATCATTTTTGACTAAAAGAATAAGCTCACGCGGTACACAGTCATCTTCAGCATTTCTTCTTTAATAATTACGGACAGTCATATCATGAAAAAATACTATAGGGATAAACTATATTAGGAATTCGTCATAGGTGAGTCCGAATCTTTAAAGATTTTGTGATTACAAAAAATTTATAGTGCGGTTGAGGAAAAGGATTTATTGTACTTTAGGTTGAAAGAATGAAGAGAAATGAGACGCCATTTTATAAAGAAATTTTGATCGGCACATGAATTGATATTAACTTTCTACTATTCCATTAAATTATTAGAAGATTGTAATTATCAGTTCGATCGTATGTTTTTATAAGCAGATATCAATTTTTTTGCAAAAGGCAGTAAGATGCTCCGGACTTAACAACGTTCCCCGTTTCCTAGTTTTATAAAAACTTTCATCATTCAATAGAATAGATATAAATAATCAAAAATTTACAACTATTAAAATCAAGATGTTTAGAATATAGATCAAAAGATCGGGTCAAAGACTTTTACGATTAAAATCCTACGAAATTTACAAGATAGGCGCAATTTTTTGTTTCTGTTTTTACTTATTAATGTTTTATATGGAAATTTCAAAAGTCACGGGACGGGCCGTATCGTTATGAAATTCCCCAGTATTATCCCACCCCAGTAAATTGGAAATTATCGCCTGTCCCGTGACTTCCTTTTTTTTTTAAAAAAAAAAAAAAGGCTCGAATTCAAGTTGAACGACTCAAAATTTTGCCCGTGTTCAATCTTTTAACTATGGCTGGTTCTGCAGAAATTGCTTCTGTGAAAATGAAACGACTTGTAGACGAGGCTTCTCAAGTCAAGTACATCCCTGGTGGTGCTCTAAAAATTTACTTTCGTTCAGCAAACACGTTGTTACGGCAGGTAGTACTTATTCATTCTTTTTTTCTTCCTTAAAGAAGTTTGAAGTTCTGTCAATTAAGTTTATAGTAACTCGTTCATCATAGTCAAAGCTTTACATGAAAGAGAATGACTTAATGAACGCTTATAAATTCTATATGAGATATGCAACGTAAGTAATAAAAAATTTTTTTTTTAATATTATCAAATCAAATAATTATTGATATATTTTCTTTCATCGAATATAGATTAGCTCTTGAAAAACTACCGAATCATCCAGAATACAACAAACCAGAACATAAGGCTGGACGAATTGAATTAGTTAAAGTGAAGTATCAATAACGAATAAGTTAAATTTTCCGATCAATCTATAAATAAATCACTTACTTCAAATTACTGTTCCTTTTAGAATACGAAAGAAGTGCTTAACGAAATCACACATTTAAAACCTATATTAGAGGAACGTTTTAGACGAATAGCAGAAAAGGAAATTGCTGAACATGAGGCTGCTGAACGTGCGGCTCAACTCCAATTAACGCAAAAACTTGAAAGTTCGCCTCGACCTCCTTCGTTGCAAACGCAGCAAACTTATGTTCCTTACGAACATTGGAATTTGGCTGAACAGTTGAAAGACTTACCAAATCAACCGCCGTCCAGTAATTTGTAAGTGTAAATTTTAATTTTTTTTTTTTATTATTATTTTTTCTCGATTAATACTTAAGCCCGAAATTTTTTTAAAAAAAAGAACGCATCAGGAACAGACTTACCGTTCGGTAAATAAATTAAATTTAAATAATTACATTTCATTATGCAATTTCTTATCTTCTAAATATTATTCAAAGATTGACTATCCTGGAATCTCAATGCGAAATCAAAGCGATGGGTATATAAGATTATAAATTCTAGTTAAATTTAAATTTATTACCAGATTTATATAACTCTCATTATTAATTGTTGTCGACTCGATTAGGTATATTTATCCGTCTATGGGGATGCCGATTATTAAAATACCTACTTCATCTACATCCGTTATATATTCACCGGCATTACCTCCTAAAGTGAAGTATGAACCTCCGCGACTTCCACCAAAGCCAAATGAATATATGGCTTCTTATAATATTCCTAACGTTGACCCCATTTATGAAAGTGAACCAGGTTCATATTTATTGCTTTTACTATGAAAATATATAATAATTATGATATAAAGGGCTGGTAAACTATTTTATTTATTTATTTATTTTCAAATAGAATTTGCCGCTTTCACTGAAGGTGGTGAAGGTCTTCGAAAAGTTTGTCTTCCAAGAAATATATATGACATTTTTATAAAAATTGCAGCCGGCAACACTTTAAAGAATTTAGAAACATGTGGAGTATTGTTTGGAACCTTGGTATTGAATTTTTCTTTTTAAAATAAACAAAAAATTGCCTTTAATTTTTAACTTAGCATAACTTTCTTTCCCTAGGCTAAAAACGTGTTTTCGATTACTACATTAATTATTCCTAAACAAACCGCTACTTCTGACACGTGTACAATGACGAATGAAGAGGAGTTGATAGAATATGCTGAAGAAAAAGGGTTAATGCTGCAGGGGTGGATACATGTGAATACTTTGTATTTCAATATGAACAGTTTATCATTATGTCATGGCTAGAATGCTAAAAGATATATTTGAATTCATTTCAGACACATCCATCACAAACTTGTTTTATGAGTTCGATGGATTTGCATACACACTCTTCTTATCAAGTTATATCTCCAGAGGCAATTGCTATTGTATGTGCACCAAGGCATAATCCAAAGTATGTGATTAACTTTAGTTGTCTTACATGATGGCCATTTATAATCATTAAATATTTATTCCCTTGTATAGCTTTGGAATCTTTCGATTAACTAATCCACCGGGATTACAGACTGTTCTTCAATGCACACAAAGAGGATTTCATCCTCATGATTCCAACTTACCTATTGACAAAGTTTGCTGAATTTCTTGACTTATGTTTTATTAAATATTTATATATATATATATATTTTTTTACTAAAATATATTCTCTTATTATAGAACATTGTGGGTCAAGGTCACGTCATTTTA